GGTTTCCGCCATAGCAAATCTACTACCTCCGCCCTGCTGTCCACAATCCCCCGTTGGCAAAGAGAAGTGGATAGGGGAAACTATGTATCCATCTGCTACATTGACTATGCTAAGGGCTTTGACTCGATTTCCATATCTTCGCTATTGAAGAGACTCATTACGTATATAATTCGAGCTCAACTGCTCCGGTTCCTTGAGTCCTGCTTGTTCGGCAGGATCCAAACAGTACAGTGGTTGTAAATGGCGTTACATCTTATTCCTATTCCACTCCAAGTGGTGTTCCTCAGGGAAACCTGCTGGGGCCCTTGCTGTTTAACGTGTATGTTAACGATTTGGTTGAGTCTCTCCCAGTCGGTGTCTTCTGCAACATGTATGCCGATGACTCGAAAGTTTTTACTATAAATGATTGCGAAATGCTACAAACAGCCATAAACACCATTGAAAGATGGTCAAACCATTGGAAACTTGAAATTTCCGTTCCAAAAACAGCAATCATGTGTATTGGGAAAAATCATCCCAATGTCACATTCTCCTTGTCTTGGAATCAGCTCATGCAAATTCACGATGTGCGGGACTTAGGTATCATTTATGACAATAAATTTGGCTTTGACAATTACGTACATCGTAGCGTATCAAATGCAAGCTCGAGAGCTAATTTCATTCTCAGATCGTTCAGGACGCGCAACCCCCTTCTCCTGTTTCGGCTTTCCATCTTCTATGTTATACCTGTGCCCGAATACTGCTCACCTATTTGGTCGCCGCATACAAAGATGCTAGTCGATGAGATTGAAAAAGTCCAAAGAAGTTTCACATTCCGATGCTTCATTTGAAAATATTAGTTCTATCTCTTATGAGAAGCGTCTTCGGAAACTCGGAATCGATTCGTTAGAACTCAGGCGCATTGTTTTCGACTATGGACTACTTTATAAGATGACAAATGGAGAAATTTTTCAAAATTGCGCGACCTATTCGAAATCCCGCCTACATAGGCATCTCTAAGGGTCACCCTTACCGTGTGCGACCGTATAAATCTAACACATCTGCCTTTGATGAGTCGGCTGGACTTGTACGAGTAGTTAATAGTTGGAACAGCTTACAGTCTAACTTTTTCAGATGGATGCTGCATGCTTCTCTTTTCCAAAGCCATCTTGCATTACGCCTTAAAACTCTAATTTCGCACCTAGCGAAAGTCACCACCTAGCCTTCTAGTATGGTTGTTCGACAAGCTTATGCTACATCTTTTTTCATAGTTAGCTCAAATTCAACTAGCTGTATTTCCTAAATAATCCCTTTTTAAGGGCGAGAAGCGATCGCTCATGTTTTTGTCTTGATTACGGATTTTTCTCTAAGCTTTTGATTAGCTCTGAGAGTAACGATTTCTTTTTGTCCCAGTGTACCTTGGAACTTGTTCCGATAACGTATGAACTTGTCGTTGTACTTTTCCTCTCTCAGTGGCTTCCTCTCTTGCGGCTAACTCATTTTGTTACTCTTCTTTTGCGCCATATGCACCCTCACCCATTCCTCTCCTCCCCTCAACGTTGACGGACCAACTACGATGGTATCTAGAGTTCTCATTACGCCCGTGAGACTTGCAGTGGTGGCGGCCCACTGCCCTTCTGCGCTCTCCTTCACTCCACTGCCAGCGGCCTCCCTCCCCCTCCTTTCTTTTATATAACCGGATCACACTAGAGCTAACTTCACTGTTCATTGATGAGTTCCTTATGTTCTTCAGTTTTGTTTTCTTTTTTATGTGTGTCTAGTTCTTTTTTATGTTTTTTATGTTTTTTTAGCGTTAAGCTAATAGAAAATAAATAAATAAATAAAAAGTACCGGTGCCTGTTGGTCATATTTCAAGTATTTACAAGAGAGTAGAGAGTACAGAGTATGTACTTTTAAAATACGTAAGATGATCAGAAGTATTGTCAATCGTCCTAGAACTTTTTACTCTATCTCATAATAACATAACACCACGGCTACCATGCGGGTCAGGTGAGAGCGCACATACTTTGGAAGGTCAAAGGAAACAGAATTGTAATTCCGATGCGGACTATACACAAATAAACAGAAAATCAGTCTCTCTCTGTTAACTCACAGCATTGAAAATCTCCTTTAAATTCTTCTTGTTCCTCCGAGTGAAATCTGGATTAAGATCCTCCTTTTTATTATTCAAGGTCGTGGAGAAATGGAAATTAATGTGTGAAGATTTTAAATGAACACCTGGGATTTCTGTCATATTGGCTGATGTTTTTTCTCGAGATTTCACTGTCTCTTCTGGCTTAGCACACTTTTCAGCTTCCTCCATTGAAGCTTTCGCTTTTTCATTGGATTTTCCCGCTCCCTCCTTTGAAGCTTTCGCTTTTTTATTGGATTTTCCAGCTTCCTCCTTTGAAGCTATCGCTTTTCCATTAGATGGAAGATCTTTTCCACCATCTACATTCTCTTTCGAATGCGCATTTCCCGCACGTTTTGAAGTTTCGACTGAGGCAAGTTTCTGATTTGCTTCTCTGAAATCAAAAGACTCATCGCTCTCATCCCACATTTTGGTTTTTTTTTGTTGTCAACCCAGTTTTTCTGCTATAACTTTTTCAGCTATCTTCTAGTGCCTTCCAACGACGAGCTCCTTCAAATTAGCGACGAAATTGAGATGTTACATACCACCCTTTCTGATAAATTTCTGCTCGTTACCTCAACTGCTTTATAAGTTAATAACTTGCCGTTGTTTAGTGACTACTAATGAGGATTGTTCATTCTGCGTGTCCTCTTCTCTTTGACATTGCTCCTGCTGTCCTGGCAATTCCTTTGATCTCTTTTCTTTCCCGTCTTCATATATTACAGCTGCTGCTTCTATCTCTCTAGCTACACCAGTCCTGCTTATCCCTTCTCCGGTTTGCGTAGCTTCGATTTCTTGATGATTCTCGTCCATTTAAAAGCTGTAACAATCATTCTTTAATTTGTGCTGCAATGTTCCATCAGACACTAGCTTTTGGCTATCGCGAGTTACAGCGCGCATAAAGGCAGGGAAGGATTTTGATAGATAGCCTGACCATTAAGTTCCGTTAGCATGACTATACTCTTTTGAGGCTTCGAACCACTTCTTTTCTCCGAGTTTTACTCGAAATCGCTATTTTCGATTGCTCTTAGTCACAGTAGCGGTCATCAAAGTTCGGTGAAACGCTCTTCCAATCGTAATTTTTTTATAGCAAAGAATTCGAAGAAAAATTCTGATGTGTCAAACTCCATCTCGAACCAAAACAATTTATATTTTTTGGCTTCGAAACTGGTGACGCCATCAGGTCAGGAACTCTGTCTGAATGTTAGAAAAAACATGATGACGTCGATGTACTTCGTCAGCCCAGGACAGGCGGATCATACCTGGGTCGAGGGCTCACTCACTGTCGCCGACCTTGCCGCTGGGTTCAACGCTAGCGATGGCACCATACTTAGTTTGAAGGAAGCCCTGAACAATGGTGCTTTTCCCAATGCTAGAGTGGAGTTCGCGCACCGTCGCCTCAACTGAATTTCGACTGAATGGAGTAAGGTTCTTTTCACAGACGAGAGCAATTCAATCTGCTAGGAAGCGATGGCATACGGTACTGACGACGTCCATCTCCACGTCACGAGTGGAGACGGACGAGTGGTCCACTGACGAGAAAAGGTTCAATCTAAAGTACACGCCACTCGTGACAGTAGAATAGAGCCGGATCAACTAGAGAGCATGACGAAAAGCACAAATCAGAGCAGCAAAAAATGCAGAAGGTTTCACTCCTGTTTTACGCGCGGCGGAAACGGTGAAAATGTAGTTCAGGTGATACAGCTATTTATTGTTAGTACCAGTTGCTCTACGCACGCTAATGTGTGCACCACATGTCCACTACCGCTTACCTACGACTTGCCAGAAGACCAATATGAACAGTCCCAGTTTATAACTATTTGCTCACCGCGCACACGTGACATTCACACCCTTCGTCGTGCTAACGCGATTTTCGGAAGGACGCACAAACGGACATACAAACAGACACACAAAATTACCGCTCTATATATAGAGACAGTCGGAACGCCAGGCTAACTTCGGGCTTCAGTCCTTCTTATGATAGAGTCATGACAAACGGCAAACGGCACACTCCTTCTTTGGAACGAATTATACTTTTCGGAAGACGAAGTTCGATATAGGAACAATAGGGAAGCAAATGATATACAAAATGTGTCGATGCCTATGCCTTTGATTGGAATCTGTCTGTCTCAATCTGTCGCTGTTACAAATAATGAACCATTGAAGATTCAATTGCAATGAAAGCCCTGAATGGTACTCACAAATGTTGTCGAGTCATAGTAACACTATCATCAAATGTCTTCATGAATGTAGCTCCTTTCCTCTACGGATACATTACTAAATGAGGGTCAAAGATCGTCAGCGGTCGGATAAGTTTTGTCATGAATGATATCAAAGCATAAAGAAACCGTGATCCTTCATTGAATCGTAAACTGCGCTGGGTAGCGGTCGTAAGCAAGAAGGGAACCAAATTTCATAATCGGTCTCTATCAGTGCACTTTCCCTTCTTGTCGAATAAATCATATCAAAGGATCAAAGCTAAATCGTAAATAACAAAGGCGCTAGGATGCAATTGGTGATTGAAACTTATTCTCTAAGGCCTTTTATCGTCAGTGTTCCCATCCTGCCCTCTCTACTCCTAATGATTTTGCTCCCCAACTCCACGGGATCAGGAGTTATGTATTTTCGCTCAGACATTTATTTCGCACAAAGCCTGCCTCCTGTGGGCGAAATCCGGTCCTAATACCTAGCCTAAGTGTTCGCATACTGCCTAATAAACTTGTACCTTGACCATTTTGGCGCAAACCCCGCAAACCTGGGCAGAATTTGGTCTNATCCCCTGTCCTACAGGCCTTCCTGTCAAGAATTTTTCTGTTTGATCATTTCGTTTATTTTGTTTCTCTTACCTCTTAATCTCTCTTGTAGTGCAGAACCTGCGGCTCGAGCTTTCCTTTGTAGCGCGCGTTTTGAGCGCATTCAATAAATAAATAAATAAATAAATAAATAAACGGAAAACGGCACACTCCTTCTTTGGAATGAATTATACTTTTCGGAAGACGAAGTTCGATATAGGAACAATAGGGAAGCAAATGATATTCAAAATGTGTCGATGCCTATGCCCTTGATTGGAATCTGTCTGTCTCAATCTGTCGCTGTTAAAAATAATGAACAATTGAAGGTTTAATTGCAATGAAAGCCCTGAATAGTACTCACAAATGTTGTCGAGTCATAATAACACTATTATCAAATGTCTTCATGAATTTAGCTCCTTTTCTCTATGGATACATTATTAAATGAGAGTCAAAGATCGTCAGCGGTCGGATAAGTTTTGTCATGAATGATATCAAAGCATAAAGAAACCGTGATCCTTCATTGAATCGTAAACTGCGCTGGGTAGCGGTCGTAAGCAAGAGGGGAACCAAATTTTATAATCGGTCTCTATCAGTGCACTTTCCCTTCTTGTCGAATAAATTATATCAAAGGATCAAAACTAAATCGTAAATAACAAAGGCGCTAGGATGCAATTGGTGATTGAAACTTATTCTCTAAGGCCTTTTATCGTCAGTGTTCCCATCCTGCCCTCTCTACTCCTAATGATTTTGCTCCCCAACTCCACGGGATCAGGAGTTATGTATTTTCGCTCAGACATTTATTTCGCACAAAGCCTGCCTCCTGTGGGCGAAATCCGGTCCTAATACCTAGCCTAAGTGTTCGCATACTGCCTAATAAACTTGTACCTTGACCATTTTGGCGCAAACCCCGCAAACCTGGGCAGAATTTGGTCTTGCTTCCCAACATATGTGTTCCCATCCTGCCGCCTGTGCTCCTACCAAATTTGAACGTCCTAGGTTCACGGGGACAGGAGTTATGAATTTTCGTACAAGCAGACAGACAGACAGATGGACGGACGGACAGACAGACGCCAGCACTTTATATGAAGTAAGATATNGCGCCACTTGCCACTACACCACCTCCGCTACTCCGTATTACACCACAGAAATGAAATTTTTTTACTAAGGCTTAGGAGGGAAGGATCACCGGGTTGGGGGCGTTCTCAACTTTTCTCCCGAGGTAATCATCCCATCCATCCCGGTCCTCCTACCCTCCTATGGCTCAGTTTAAAACCACATCCTCTGGCTGAAACAGCGGAAGAACGCAAAGAAGGCCGATGCTCATCTCCCTCCGTCTTTGACTGGCAGAAACCCTTGCTACTTTTTTTTTAAATTCTTCACGGAGGAGCTCAATTTCAGTTATCAGATTTTAGCTGGAGAGGCTGGGAGTCTGTCTTATGCGGGACTGTGAGTCAGCTACCATAATGGATAAGTTATATGCGATAATGAGGAGTCATCGGCTCTTCTCGACTTCGTTAGAAACCTAAGGCAATGTAGCTCACACACGAGGTAACAGTCGTAGAGAAGCTTCGCGAAATTTGGTGTTCATAATTAAGGGACACCATAGTTTATGTGGAAGTCATGGCTGTTTGGCAGATACAGGGCCTCTCAAACATATAGGCGCATATCCACTGCAATGTATTCCAAGCTCCCAAGCTGAAGAAGTCAATGAAATTTGCATGGGCATTTGCTCCCATCATTAGCAACAAAATGCCACCATCACCTTTTGAACATCAACCATTAGCAGGATCAGAGGCACAGAGTCTGTTCTTGAACTCCTAGTCTGCTGCACGGAGGTACTCATCCTCCATTTCGTCCGAGCCGTTCTTGAGTTTTACTTTCAAGGACTCCCAACTGGAATTGAAAACTCGACAGATAGTCATGTAATCAGGGACTACACGGTGGAGTCAAGCGGCTCAAGATGTGGAGAACAGGGTGGTCATTTCCCCATGAAGTTGGGCAGCTCGCGTCGGCATTACTTTTAACCGTGTTGGTTCTGTGGGCTGAAGTGCCGTTCTTTTAGAAGGACCACGGGCTATTCCAGGAAGCGAAGTCGAAGCAGCGCTTCAGTACGTCTAACCTATGCTTTCTAAGTACAATTGTCAATTTTCACGCCGACTAACGACGTCATACCTTGGGCCGTGATTCCCTCAATACACATCATTTTGTTGTTGTAATAACAACTTTTTCGTGAGAGACTGCATAGAGATTTTTTACTCAGAACACCGGTGATCTGATAATTGAGAGCTGCTTTTGTCGTGGATGTTTTCCTTTAGAGAAATCGATAGGTTTGCCTGTCACCATTCAAGTGAATCAGTCACCTTCTGCATTCTTCAAAGGCACAGTTCACGATAATTTTGGGTGATACAGGTAATGACGAAAACGGAAGATAAGATGGAAAATAGCGCGATGAAGGCGAAGGAACTGCGTGAATCGGTACTTCCAATGTGAAAAAAGCTTCGAAAAACTGTTAAAAAGGGGTTGGACGAGAATGAGACCGAAGAATGAAGAAGAGTGGGGCGTTCGGACGAGCTATACAATGTGTCTCACCGCGTGGGTGTGGGTCCTGGTGAAAATAACTGACTACGGTAAGCGAAA